TTTACCTGTGGATTTGTTTGTTATCGCTGACAACGCAGTATTGTGTATGTAAAGGGGTTTATCTTTGTTGTCTACCGTTTGTGTACCACTCTGTGTCTTCTCTAGGGCATTTCTTGAAACTCAGTTGTAAAGTGGTAGTGATATAAGTGTTGAAATCTGTCTGATTTCATGGAGCATGATGACTGTTGGGATCATCCCAAAGCTAATGCCTATGAGGTACAGGTCAGACTTACCTCCACCTTTCAACTTGTTCACGAGTTCTGTCACCAGCCATCCTCCACAGCACTCTCTACTTCTCTACTATGTTTGATAATACATTGCAATGGGCACACAAAACTCATAAACCATACTTTTTTAAAGTGGTTTATTAAGGAAGTAACAGGGTAGAAATTGGAATCGGGATCAGGAAGCTCCAACTCAGGATCAGGCTTAGAATGCATGAAGGCAAAGTCTGGAAGGCTCCCCTGAAGAGGAGCTCACATCCCTCCCTTCAATACAGGACAGCTGTCTTAGCTCCTCAGCCCTACAGCTGAGTAGGCCCTCCTCTCTGCTGTGCACACCCACTCACAGCCCTTCCAGCCTCCTCTCAGCCCCCTCGGGACAGGCTTCCTCTTAGTCCCCTGAGGACAGGTGTCTCTGCCGTCAGCCTGTCCACTGCTGACTGACCCAGCTCACAGCCAGTGTCGGATGTTTTCAGCTCTCTCAGCTGTATTCTTAGCAGCCCGTTCTGCCATCACCACCACCTCTGCTGCTGGGCCCCTTCCAGGCCTGTTGCCGCCATATCTGCTGCTGGGCCCCTTTCATCTTACCAGTTCCAGTTCTTCTGCCGAGCTCCTTCCTGGCATGTTGCTGTAGGCTATGCGGATTGGACCCTGCAGAGCCTGGCACTGCTGGCTGTGCCACAGGACCCTTTCCTTGCCTCTCGCGGTCTTTAGTGTTTACAGCCTTTGACCTGTGTTACAGCTTTTTCAGGAAGTTCTTTCCTTCCACTCACTCTGTTTCTTTGTGCCGTCTTTCTTTCTGCCTGCCAACTTCTGTGATGTTGGCTGCATATATAAGCGAAACCTAAACCCAGTGCTATTGAGTAGAGTCTGACTCATAGTGACTTCCACTGTGTTTCCAAAGCTGTAACTCTTTATAGAAGTAGATTGCCTCATCTTCCTCCCATGGAGCAGCTGGTAGGTTTGAACCTCTGACCTTTTGGTTAGCAGTCAAATGTTTTACCCACTGTGCCACCAGAGTTCCTTTATATATAAGCAAACTCCTCATTAATCTCAAAGCATGGCCCTTCTACCAGGGCCCTGAACTAAGCAATCCTCTCTCCCTTCTTGGTAGGCCATAGACATTTCATTTGCGTAGTAGGCTATACTCACTTCATTTGCATATTATATTAACCAGTTCCTTTCAGGGCAGGCTGCAGTATCAAACCACAAGTTGTTGACAGCTTGCTCAGGAAATGTCAGTCAACTGGGACAAAAGTAAGAAACCCTCTGGGGTAGAAAACTAGGGTAAAGATAATGTCTCAGGCAGTTTGGGGGCTGAAATCTACCTGTTTTTCCAAAGAACAAAGGCAAAAGCCCACATAAAGGAACTCATTTCACCACACTCAGGTTAGGTTAGGGAGCTCTGGTAGTGTAGTACCTAAGGCACTTAACTGCTAACCAGAAGGCTGGCAATTCAAACCCACCAGCCACTCCTCGGAAGAAAGATGGGGCAATCCACTTCCGTAGTGATACTGCCTCGGAAACCCAAGGAGGAGTCACTATAAGTCAGGTCTGATTCAACGGCACATAACAACAACAACAACAGTTTAGGTTAAAACGTGCCCACTTCTAGAGAATTGGAATTATTTTATTTTTTAATGAGACGAGAGAAAGCAAGACTGTAAAAGAGTGATAAATATAAAGAAGTTTTTCAAACAAAAATTCCTCCATTTTGCCTTGCTGATCTCAGGCCAGTTTCACACTGCTTCCCCCTGAGCTCACTCTGCTTGGGCTCTATCCCTGCAGCTCCCCAAGTGCACATCCACATCGGACCTTTGCACTCGCTGTTCTTGATACCTCAGTGTGTGCTCTCTGGAGTTTCGGGAATTCACACACCTGGTACCTTCTCAGCACAATGGGACCTCTCACCCGGCTGTATTATAACTGTGAGCCCTTCCCCTGGGCCCTTCCCTTTCCCCATCCCCCTATTTTTATTTTCTAAGCCCATGGTTCTCAGCTGAGATGGTATTGTTCCCTCCCCAGGGGACATTTGCCAAAGTCTGGAGACACGTGCTTTTTTTTTGTCGTAAAAATTTGTGTAGTGTTTGCCTTTGTAACATTTTTTACTTGGTTTCAAATGCAGGGACTCCAGATCCCAAGGACTTACTCCACTCCTGTATCTTGGCAGCAGTCTGGTTCCCCTCTTCTGTCTTGCTTCTAGTTTTCTCTCTTGTAAGATAAAAGGTGTGACACAAACAGTGGTATGATTTCAGTAAGGTGGTGAAGGGTGATAACTTGAGTCACACCTTCTGCTAAGATGGTGACTGAAGGTACATCCCATCCTAATCCCACCTCATTCACAAAATGGACAACTCATTCTAGAATGGAACTATAACCACAGGCACAGAACCTCAGATTTATAACACTTCACAAAATATAGGGCTGTGTCTGCAAGGACTGTGTTAAGTAATTTACTGTACTGCAAGAATATCTTCATTCTGGGGACATCAAGCTCAACTGGCATACCATACTACACAAAACATTGTTCTACATCCTACTTTCACAAGTAGCAACTGGAATCTTAAAAGCTTGCAAGCAGCTATCTGGATGTAACAATGGGCCTCTCCTTGTCTAGAACAAAGAAGAATGAAGAAGACCAAAGATTCATGGAAACAGTCCAAGGGACTGGTACACCATGTGATCCTCAGCCTATACAACTATGAGACCAGAACTAGATGGTGCCCTACCAACCACTCGGAGGGGGATCTCTGTAGGAGATCCTGGATAGAGTGGGAGAACAATGTGGAACAAAACTCATAATCATTTGAGAAAAAAAAGGTACCAGGTTTGCTGGTCTGATAGAACTTGATGGAACCACTGAGACTATGGCCCTGCTAAAAGGACAAGGAGGCCCCATGTTCTGACCTCCTCTAATCCCACAAGAGGAAGACAGGGTTACCAGCAGTAACCCAAGGTCTATTACTGCAAGGCCAGACATGCTGCCTCCCTCCAACCCTTTCTCCAACCATTCCTCCCAGAGCACCCACCACCTCTCTCCTGGGTTCGATAATTCGCTGCAGTGGCCCCATAGAACTCACAGATTACAAGATTTATTAGGGAAGCACCAAACTATAATTCAAGTTCAGGAAAAATGCTCAGTCTCTCTCTCTCCAGCCCATCGACCCTCAGCCAGCAGTCTCTCACAGTCTCTTTCCCAGCAGTGCTGGTCCCTCGTTGTCTCACTCAGCAATGCATGTCTGTTGCGTCTCTTTCCCAGCAACACGTGTCTAAGGAGCCCATGTCTCTTTCAGCAGCACGTCTTCCTCAACCAGCAGTCAGAGAGAGTTCTGCCTCTAGGAGGCCTCCTTTTGAGCCTGGCAGGGTGGTCAAACTAGCCAATTATAGCATCAGAACTCTAAGCACCTGAGAGAGAGTGGGCACCTCCCAGAACATTGTTTTATGCCACTCTCAACAGAAATACTCCAGGTGGACACCGTCAGCAATCAGGAGCTCCTCAGTTGCTCATAGCAAATCCCACCTTGGAGTTTACAAAGACTTATGGGTAGAAAAGCCACACAAAGTAATTTACTACACTGCAGGCCCCTAGCTGCCCTTCAGGTTTGGAATTGAACCCACACCTGTGGCTTCCAGCCAAACAAAATCCAGCCATATGAGGTGAACATTTTACACTATGTAGATACACTCCTTGGCGTGAACAACCATGGGAAAATAGAAGGGCTATGTAGGCACAGGGACATAGCTTAGGGGGCAGGAGTGCCTGGAGGGAAGGACACAGGTAAGAGGTGACTATGGGGAGGAAGTGGGAGGGGAGCTGTTGCATTGTGATAAATTGTTGTCAGTGTCATGAGGCAAAGTGTATGTGAACTGCTGTATGGAAAGTGAATTTACTCTGTAAATTTTCACCCAAATCACAATAATAGTAAAAAAAAAAAAAACATTCTTCCTCAGGGATATTTCTGGCCCTGTTTTCTTTCTTGTAAATTTTAGAATCAGCTTACTAAGTTCCAAGATAAGCGCAGTTTGGATTTTATGCATAGTTGTACTGAATTGGGTAGAGTCATCACTTTTACATTGTTATTTTCTTCACTTATAAATAATCTTTAATGTCTTCAGGTAACATATTATAACTTAATCTGTCCTGATGATGTTTGTTTTGCTAGTGTTCACCTAGCTGTTCATCAGGTGTACTGGAATCAGTATGCTCCTAATCAATATGCCCTTCCAAATCCTGTTCAGATCTGCCTTACAAGCCCTGTCCAGGGAGTGGCAGTGGCCACTCCCACTGTCACCCAGGTAAGAACCTTGGGGATCAGCCTTCCCTCTCCCTGTCCTCTCTCTACATTTTCAGCAGCACCCCCTCTCTTGCATGGTGGCCCCCCGGGTTCTCTGAAGATTCTGTGTCTTTGCACGTTCTTTCTTCTAAGGCTGCAGTGTCTGTCCTACACCTATCTGGCTCCTCATCCCTCTCTGTGAGGCCGCTCTTTGTGGGATGCCTCCTCTGGGAAGTGTCCCCTGATCTCCTTCTGTCTCACATCTGATCTGCAATAGCTGCCTCTTTCTTGTGCTCCCATAAGAACATGAGCTATCTTCACAGAGAGCTGTATCCACCCATCCCCTGGTCTCCTTTCCAAGGTGGGACACAGTGGAGGAATAGGAAGGGAAAAGTGGAAACCTGGAGTTCAGAGATGTCAAAATACACAGGCACAGAAGCACTGTTTTCAGTTTCTCACTGAAGTGGTTGACCCTTCTGTTTGATGTTTTTTAGGAGACAAAACAAGACTCGAGGTCACAGAGCCAACTGCTCCTGAGCTGGCCATATCTGAGGAAGCTTCAGTCCAGGGATGACTGACACTATGAACCTTCACTGACTGTCAGGTGGGGTGAGACAGGGATCAGGAGGGGCCACCAGCAATGCAGGACCAACACTTGAGACCAGGGGTAGTCCCTCAAAAGGAGCATCTGCCTGGGCAAATGAGTGCTGAATGTGATGGTTTGGGGACAGTTGATGGAGCATGTTCAAGCATTTTGCAGGACCAAGTCTTTCCAAGAGATGCTATTCATGATGGTGACTCACGTGGACCAGTTATAGATGCCATGACTCGCGAAGAAAGACATTCTTATATTTGCACTGAATGCGGGAAGGAGTTTAAGAAGAGACACCTCCTTACTCAACATGAGCAGATTCACTCTGGAGTGAAGCCCTTTGAGTGTACAGAATGTGGGAAAACTTTCAGCAAGAGCACAACCCTCCTTCAACACCACATCATCCACACTGGGGAGAAGCCCTATCAGTGCACAGAGTGTGGGAAGGCCTTCACCCAGAGGGCACACCTAACTCAGCACCAGCGGATTCACACTGGGGAGAAGCCCTTTGAGTGCAGTGAATGTGGGAAGGCCTTCACCCACCACTCCACGTTTGTCTTGCATAAGAGGAGCCACACAGGAGAAAAACCCTTTGTGTGCAAGGAGTGTGGGAAGGCCTTTCGTGATCGGCCAGGCTTCCTTCGACACTATACCATCCACACTGGAGGAAAGCCCTATGAATGCAGTGAGTGTGGGAAGGCCTTCAATCACAGGTCTGAACTTACACGGCACCAGCGGCTTCATAATGAGAAGAAACACTATGAGTGCATTGAGTGTGGGAAAACCTTCAACTATAGGTCACACCTTGCACAGCACCAGCGGATTCACACTGGGGAGAAGCCCTATCAGTGCAGAGATTGTGGAAAGGCCTTCAGCCAAAGTGCCCACCTAACTCAGCATCAGCGTATCCACACTGGGGAGAAGCCCTATGAGTGCAGTGAATGTGGAAAGACCTTCGCCCACCTCTCCACGTTTGTTTTGCATAAGAGGAGCCACACAGGAGAAAAACCCTATGAATGCAAGGAGTGTGGGAAAGCCTTTCGTGATCGGCCAGCCTTGTTTCGACACTACAGCATCCACACAGGAGAGAAGCCCTATGAGTGTAGTGAGTGTGGGAAGGCCTTCAACCGTAAGGCTCACCTCACTCAGCATCAGAGGACTCATACAGGGGGAAGCCCTATCAGTGTGACAGATGTGGGAAAACCCTTCACAAGTGGGCAAAGCTCAGTCAACATCCAAGGACTTCTATTGGGAATGGACTTTTTAAATGTAACCACTGAGGAAAATCTGGACAGAGGAAATATCTTACTGAGCATGTGATTGTTCTTGCCCAAGTGAAGTCTCCTGTGTCATTTCTGTGAGGAAGTGTTCCTTCCCAGATAGTTACTTGTCATCTAAGAGTCCTGTTAGATTTGACCTGCACAGAGTCTGACTCTACATCTGAGAATTCATCCACCAGAGAGACTGAGTAGTCACTGTGCTCTTAGGAAAGGCTTCAGCCACATCTTTCTTAGTTTACTCTGCATTGTTATCTCAGGAATATTTAAACCAAGAATGAAGATGCAGAGGAGACATAGAAGGGAAGAAGAAATGGAAATACGTCTGTTTTTAGAATTCCCAGCCAAACTCATTATAATTTGGCATAGACTCTGTATTTGAGGATAAGGGAGTGTTGTTTCAGAGTTTAAAGGGCTTCATCTGTGTTATACATTCATATCCACTGTCCTGAACCAGTGGAGTTTATTGGTTGAGGGCAGGTCTGAAACAATTTGTTGAAAGCCTTTTTTCTACAGCATTGTCTTACCTTTGAGGCACATAAATCTCTTAAGAAATAATGTAAGCTTAACGTGTTAGAGAGGTTAGGATACATGTGCATATGGGCATGTTTCAAGAAAACATATTTTGTTTGTATGGTTCCAATTGACCAACATTCCTGATTTTTATTGTTTATTTTTTTTCCTTCTGTAGTATCTAGACAACAGTCTATCTGTGATATTCCTAGTTTACCCTTAATACTATTTTCCCATGGGATTTTTCACTTTCTTTAAGGCTCTATATAGAAACTTCTCCAAATCTACCTCAACAGTTTTCTAAAAGTTGTTTTACTGCTTAAGCAAAATAAAACACACAGCTAACTTAAGTTAAAGAATCATAATATAATAAAATCCTGGTGATGGAATCTTGTTCTTTTTTTTTTTTTTTTTTTATCTTAGGTTATATAAACACTTAGTTTAAAGGAACTGCATACAGAAATGGAAACTCTAGTTCCCACTTTTGTATGGAAGGAGAAGAGACACCAAATAGCCAAAGACATTTAAAAGAGCAAAATAAGAGGCTTCACACTTCCTGACTTCAAAACCTACTATACAGCTACAGCAAGAAAAACAGCTTGGTACTCCTATAAGGTAAACATTTACACCAGGCGGATACACTCCTCAGAATAATCAAATCAACCATGGGAGAGCAGAAAGGCAGCATGTGCATAGGGAGATAGCTCAGAGGGCAGGGATGCACGGGAAAGAAGGATACAGGGAAAAAGGTAACCACAGGGAGGAGGTGGGAAGAGAGCTGTTATAGGGATTGCAATCAATGTCATGAAACAAAATGTATATGAGCTGTTGTTAAGTGCCATCAAGTCGAACCCGACTCATAGCGACCCTTCCTTGGGTTTCTGAGGCAGTATCACTACCAAAGTAGATTGCCTGACCTTCCTTCTGAGGAGTGGCTAGTGGGTTTGAACTACCAGCCTTCTGGTTAGCAGTCAAGCACCTTAAGCACTATGTCACCAGAGCTCCTGTGTATAAACTACTGTATGGAAAATGAATTTGTAAACTTTAATGCAAATCACAATAATAATAATAATAGCTTGGTACTAATTTAACGATAGACATATAAACCAATGGAATAGAGCTGAAAACTGAGAAATAAATCCAAACATCTATGGTCAGTTGATTGTGGACAAGTGACCCAAATTCTTTGAATAGGGAAAGAACAGTATTTTGAATAAATTAATAAAGAACAGTCTATAATTCCAGGCACCTGGCATGTTTGAAGCTTCTATTATAGACCTGAACCCATTTATTAAACTTGACTCTTTTTCGGAAGTTACTTTCACTATGGAAATTCTTGTAAAGATGCCTGCACATTTCAAGATATGTTATTATTAAGATTGTTTTTTCAGAAATGTTCCAGGAAACTTCTAGGTAGCCAAACTATCTTTTCCATTGTTGATGAGTATTATACACAACTTTATGTCAATACCAACAAGTCATCATACATTTCAACCTGCCCTTCATGTTTGTGGTTTTTTTCCCTTTATAATTCCCTGTAGTTGAATAGCTCATGGGAACTCAGTGAGTTGCTGTCACTTTGTATTTTCCTCAGTTTAGACTGTCCTGCTCCCACAATAAACTCTTTGTTTTATTCCATACACACACACACACACACACACATTGTTGTTAGGTGTGTTGAGCCATCTCTGACTCAGCAACCTTATGAACATAGAAAGAAGCACTGCCTGGTCCTGTGCCAGCCTCACAATCCCTGCTATACCTTGCAGCCACTGTGTTAATCCACCTTTTTGAGAGCCTTCCCCCTTTTTTTTGTTGACCCTCCACTTTACCAAGCATGATATCCTTCTCCAGGGATTGATTTCCTTCTGACAACATGACCAAAATAGGTGAGACGAATTGTGGCCATTCTCGTTTCCAAGGAGCATCCTGGCTGCACTTTTTCCAGGACAGATTTGTTAGTTCTTTCAGCAGTCCACGGTACTCTCAGTATGCTGCCAACACCACAACTCAAAAGCATTAACTCTTCAGTCTTGCGTATTCATTGTTCAATACTCAGCATGCATCAGAGGTGATTGAAAATACCATAGCTTGGGTTGGGCACACCTCAGTCTTCAAGGAGACATCTTTGTTCTTCGTTACTTGAAAGAGGTCTTTTGCAGTAGATTTGCTCCATGCGATATGTTGTCTGATGTCTTGAATGCACTTGCATTGGTATTGATTGTAGAACTAAGTCATATGAAGTCTTTGACAACTTAAATCTTTTCTCCATTTATCGTGATGCTGTTTGTTGGTCCAGTTGTGAGAATTTTTGTTTTCTTTATATTGAGGTAAAATCCATAGTGCGGACTAAACTTCAGTCTTCATCAGTAAGTGCTTCGAGTCATCTTCATTTTCAGCAAGAAAAGTTGTGTCGTTTGCATATCACAGGTTGTTAATGAGTCTTCCTCCAATCCTGATGCCACGTTCTTCTTCGTATAATCTAGCTTCATGGATTATTTGCTCAGCATACAAAGTGGATAAGTATGGTGAAAGAATACAACCCTGACACATTCCCTTCTTGATTTTTAACCATGTAGTGTCCCCTTGTTCGAACAACAGTCCACGTACAGGTTTCGGATGAGCACAATCAAGTATTGTGGAATTCCATTCTTCTCAATGTTATCCATAATTTGGTATGATTCTTTGAGGAGTATGAATTTTTTTCAGTTCTTTGAAAAGTGAATGCTTTTGCATAATCAATAAAACATAAGTAAACATCTTTACGGTATTTGCTTTCAGCCAAGATCCTTCTGATATCAGCTATGATATCCCTTGTTCCACATCCTGTTCTGAATCCAGGTTGCATTTCTGGAAGTCCTCTGTCAATATACTGCTGCAACCATTTTTGAATTATCTTCAGTAAGATTTTACTTGCATGTGATATTAATGATATTGTTTGATAATTTCCATTCTGTGGAATCACCTTTCTGTGAAATAGGTACAAATATGGATCTCTTCCAGTCAGTTGGCCAGGTAGCTGTCTTCCAAATCTCTTGGCTTAGCCGAGTGAGTGCCTCTAGCACGACATCTGTTTGTTGAAATATCTCAATGGATATTCCATCAGTTCCTGGAGCCTTGGTTTTGTTTTTTTTTTTTGTTTGTTTTTTTTGCCAATTCCTTCAGTGCAGCCTTGACTTCTTCCTTCAGTATCATTGGTTCTTGATTATATGCCACCTCCTGAAAAGGATGAAGATCAACCAATTCGTTTTTGTACAGTGACTGTATTCCATCATCTCTTGATGCTTCCTGCATCATTCAATATTTTGCCCATTAAAATCTTTCAATATTGCAACATGAGCCTTAAATTTTTTCTTCAGTTCTTTCAGCTTGAGAAAATGCTGAGCGTGTTCTTCCCTTTTGATATTCTAACTCCAGGTATTTGCACATTCCATTATAACAATTGGCTTTGTCTGCTGGAGCTGCTCTTTGAAATTTTCTGTTCAGCTCTTTTGTCATTTCTTCCATTTGCTTTAGCTAGTCTCTGCTCAAGGGCAAGTTTCAGAGTCTCTTCTGACATCCATTTTGGTCTTTTCTTGTCTTTTTAATGACCTCTTGCTTTGTTCATAGATGATGTTCTTGATGTCATCCTATAATTATTCTGTTTTTCGGTCATTGGTGTTCAATGCATCATATCCTTTAGATGGTCTCTAATCAGGAGGGATATATTCAAGGCTATATTTTGGCTCTTGTGGACTTGTTTTAATTGTCTTCAACTTCAACTCAAACTTGTGTATGAGCATATGGTCAGTTCCACAATCAGCTTCTGGCCATGTTTTGGCTGAAGATACTGAGCTTTTCTATTGCCTTTTGCCACAGTTGTAGTCAATCTGATTCCTGTGTACTCCATCTAGTGAAGTCCACATGTATAGATGCTGTTTGTGTTGAAAAAAATTTGCAGTGAATAAGTTGTTGGTCTTGCAAAATTCTGTCTTGTGATCTCCAGCATTATTTCTGTCACCAAGGCCATATTTTTCAGCTATTGGCAATTCTTCTTTGTTGCCAACTTTTGCATTCCAATCACCAGTAATAACACATCTTGATTGCATGTTCAGTCAATTTCAGACTGCAGAAGTTGGTAGAAATCTTCAGCTTCCTTATCTTGGGCTTTGGTGGTTGGTGCATAAATTTGAATAATAGTAATATTTACTGGTCTTCCTTGTGGACATACAGATACTATCCTATCACTGACAGTATTGTACTTCAGGACAGATCTTGACACATTCTTTGTGATGATGAATGCCATACCATTCCTCTTCAATTTGTCATTCCTGACATAGTAGATCGTATGGTTGTCTGATTCAAAATGGCCAAAACCATTTCAGCTCACTATGCCTAAGACATTGATCTTTATGC